TGGCCCAGCGCGATCTTGCTTGGTGCTGGGCGCGCGGCGGCAGCGGCCGCGTTGGCACCCCAACGCGCGCGCGATGGAGAGGAGGGGGCACAGCAGGAGGGTGGACATCATCATCATCACCACCATCATCATCATCATCATCACCATCATCATCATCATCATCATCATCATCATCATCATCATCATCATCAGCATCATCATCAGCAGCATCATCAGCAGCAGCAGGAGGGTGTGTCAGCAGCAAGTGCGTAGCGCGTCCCTTGGCACGTCCCGCGGTGCGTCCCCACGGCACGTCCCCTTGCACGTCGCCTGGCGCGTCCCTTGGGACGTCCCGCGGCGCGTCCTTCTGGCATGTCCTCCTGCCAATTAGCTCTGGGGCAGCTACTCTGTGCTCTGGCAGCTCGAGCTTAAGATCCAGATATATCCAGATCAGTTCAGTTAGGACTCGGATGCAAAGGAGGACTTGATCCACAGCGCTATAGAGCACAATCGCGGCATGACACATCGCAATTCAGCACGGCGCAGCACAGCACAGCCCTCGGCACGGTGCATCAAGATCGATACAGTCAGCATTGCAGTTGCCCGTCGCCCAATCAGGTATTTTTGAAAACGCTGCCATGCCTTACATGTCTATATTCCGTTCCAGGTTCGTGGGCCGATCATGTTGATCCACCTTAGGGTGCTCGTGGGCTGTTTTTGGACCCGCTTGGATAGTTTGGGGGCTCTCCTGGCGGTCTCGGGGACCGTCTTGGGCCGATGTTGGAGGCCCTGTAGGTCGTAGGCTGTCATGGACGATGCGTGGACCTGAAAAGCGCAGGCGCTAAACATGCGCGTCGTCCCGAGGGTTTGGAACGGTTGTTGCCTCCTGGGGGCCCTCTTGGGGCCCTCTTTCGGCGTGTTGGTGGCCTCCTGGGCCCACAGTGAGCCCACCTGGAGCCCCCTGGAGGCCACGTGGCGTTTTGGAGGCTGCTTGAAGCAGTTGTACGCCCACGTTGGCCCGTCGAGTGGCCGTCTGGGAGCTTTGCATGGTCAGACGATTCTGGCGGGTGCGCCAGCCAGACGCCCCCTCCCCCTTCCAAGCCAGTCGGACTGGGCTCCCAGGGGAGGGGAAGCTACCTCACACGCCGAGGGCAAGGGGTCGGCGAATTTCTCGTGGCGTTCTTGCGTTGCACTCGTCCCTGCGCGTAGCCGTCGCCTCACTTGTGTGTGTGTTCCGTGTTGCGCAGATGCTCCGGCAGAGGGATGTAACGGGACAGGGTGAAGGATCAGGAAACAGGGGTTGGATTCATCATATTGTTTACATACGTCTTCAGAGTGCAGTCATCATGGTGGCGGCAGTCAGGATCTATTTGGGTGTGTAGGGAGGGAGGTATCGAAATGGTGGGGGCGACGGTACAAATCTAGGGCGATTTGGGAATGTCAGCCCGCGACGTTCTCATTGCTCCGACGACTCTTACCCTCCTGCTCGTTCGCACTTGCTGCCTCATCCCTCCTCGTCTTCCAACTGTTTGACAGTATGGCACCATCGGGATCCCTCTGACAGCGGCTCCTGTCCATCCTCCTCCACATCAGGCTCTGTCGCTTTCCCTCTCCGATCGCCGGGGCGAGGCTGCCGTCGGCCCCGTGCAGCCAAGTCTCCGACAGGATCGGGGCTCCCGGGGGGTGTGGGGGGCAGTGGGCCAGGCATGTGGTTGACGCGATACACCACCCTTCCGGGACAGCCACTGCAGTGATAGAAAGAGCACGCGTTCTGGTGGGAGTTCAGTGGGACGAGATTGGCTCGAAGGTTCTTGGCAGGCATGACGTCTTTACTTGCAGAGGGCGGCCACCGCACTGCAGTCATGGACGTGATGCAGTCTGCTGAGCCACATCTGCTGCGATCCCCACCGGTGCAAGCTTGGAGCCGCTTTACTTCAACGACGGTGTCATACGGAGTACAGCTTCCCGTCACTTGCCAGTGGCGGTGGATCTACCAGCTCGCAAGTCCAGTTTCAATTCCAGAGGGCACCTGGATTTCTCATCGGGACGTCCATTGAATAACAGTTTCCACATTCCATTGCGAGGCCCGCCTGCAAGGACTCGTCCGCCATAGTCCGGCTGCTTCAGCAAACCTGGCCTCCGCGCCAGCACAGCAGTGCAGCGTGTTGAGGTTTAGCTAATGACGCAAATGGGAGCTTCTCTGGGTCCCCTTGAGAGCCTCTCGGGAGCCTTTGGGGTCCATTTTGGAGGTCTTTCTCGGGGGCATCTTGGCGGGCCTCTGGGGACCTCTCGGGGGCATGCCAGGAGTCTTGGAGGCGCTATGTTATTGTACGACAGGGCTGTCAAGGCCAGCTCGATTTCCCGCTCTTGGGCCCCTGTTCGGACCTTCTTGGGGTCCTGAGGGCCTTGAGGGCCGTTTTGGAGGTACCCCTGGGCCATCGATTGACCCTGTTGGGCTGTCTTGGAAGCCTGTTGGGGACCTTTCGGGCCGTTTTTCGACGATCGGAAGGCACAAAGAGCGAGTATGTTTAAATCGATCAAAGCCCTGTGTGTTTTGCTCTCGAGGACAAGCAATGTGTGTTAAGGCACAAAGGACAAGCAATGTGTTTTGCTCTCGAGGGCATCTTGTGCGTCCTCTTGGGTTGTTTTCGGGGTCTCTTGTTCCGTCTGAGGCCATTTTGGGCCCCCGTGGTGCGTCTGGAGGCCATCTCGGGCAGGCTTGGGTCCGCTTTGGAGGCCTTTTGGCCGTCTTAGGGGGAGTTCGGCTGTTTTATGTTTGCTTACGGTTTCGTTGCATCGGGGCGTTTTCTTGTTTTGTTGGGGGTGTGTTGGGTTGTGCTTGATTTTTTCCCAACCATCCTGTGGTGTTGGGTCCTCGGTTTGAAGAGACGGTGCCCCGCGTCTCTTCCCGCTGCCCCCTCCTCCTCCCCCTCCTCCCTCCTCCCTGCGTTTCACCCACCCAATACAGCGCTTCGTGGCCCAACAGGGAGCTCCACCGAAGGCCCCAGTGGCAGGGTTCGCATGGCGGCCCCGCGTTTTGGCGCTCCCCTCACACGGTTCGTAGCCCCATAGGGAGCTCCACCGAAAGGCCCCGGTGGCAGGGTTCGCATGGCGGCCCCGCACCATTTTGGCGCACCCCTCACACGGTTCGTGGCCCCATCGGGAGTTCCACCGAACGCCCAAGTGGCAGGGTTCGCATGGCGGCCCCGCGCCATTTTGGCGCACCCCTCAAGGGTCGTGGCCCCATAGGGGGCTCCACCGAAGGCCCCAGTGGCAGGGTTCGCATGGCGGCCCCGCGCCAGTTTGGTGCACCCCTCACACGGTTCGTGGCGCCATAGGGAGCTCCATCGAAAGGCCCCAGTGGCAGGGTTCGCATGGCGGCCCCGCGCCATTTTGGCGCACCCCTCGCACGGTTCTTGGCACCATAGGGGGCTCCACCGAAGGCCCCAGAGGCAGGGTTCGCATGGCGGCCCCGCGCAAGTTTGGTGCACCCCTCACACGGGTCGTGGCCCCATAGGGAGCTCCACCGAAGGCTGCCGTGGCAGGGTTCGCACGGCGGCCCCGCACCATTTTGGCGCACCCCTCACACGGTTCGTGGCCCCATAAGGAGCTCCACCGAAGGCCCCAGTGGCAGGGTTCGCATGGCGGCCCCGCGCCAGTTTGGTGGCCCCATAGGGAGCTTCACCGAAGGCCCCAGTGGCAGGGTTCGCATGGCGGCCCCGCGCCATTTTGGCACCCCTCGCACGGTTTGTGGCCCCATCCCAGAGGCAGGGTTCGCATGGCGGCCCCGCGCCAGTTTGGTGCACCCCTCACACGGTTCGTGGCCCCATAGGGAGCTCCACCGAAAGGCCCCAGTGGCAGGGTTCGCATGGCGGCCCCGCGCCATTTTGGCGCACCCCTCGCACGGTTTGTGGCCCCATAGGGAGCTCCACCGAAGGCCCCAGTGGCAGGGTTCGCATGGCGGCCCCGCGCCAGTTTGGTGCACCCCTCACACGGTTCGTGGCCCCATAGGGAGCTCCACCGAAGGCCCCAGTGGCAGGGTTCGCATGGCGGCCCCGCACCATTTTGGCGCACCCCTCACACGGTTCGTGGCCCCATAGGGAGCTCCACCGAAGGCCCCAGAGGCAGGGTTCGCATGGCGGCCCCGCGCCAGTTTGGTGCACCCCTCACACGGTTCGTGGCCCCATAGGGAGTTCCACCGAAAGCCCCAGTGGCAGGGTTCGCATGGCGGCCCCGCACCATTTTGGGGCGCCCTCGCACGGTTCGTGGCCCCATAGGGAGTTCCACCGAACGCCCCAGTGGCAGGGTTCGCATGGCGGCCCCCGCCAGTTTGGTGCACCCCTCACACGGTTCGTGGCCCCACAGGGAGCTCCACCGAAGGCCCCAGTGGCAGGGTTCGCATGGCGGCCCCGCACCATTTTGGCGCACCCCTCACGCGGTTCTTGGCCCCCATAGGGAGCTCCACGGAAGGCCCCAGCGGCAGCGTTCGCATGGCGGCCCCGCGCCAGTTTGGTGCACCCCTCACACGGTTCGTGGCCCCATGAGGAATTGCCCTTGCTTCGTCCCACCTGCCCTGCGGTTTTCACACTTGCGTATGGTTGGGTCCTTCGCCTGGATAATCAACCATCTTCGGTCAGAAGCTCTTTGGGAACATGGCTTCGCCAAGCATAGTCTTGAATACGAAACGATCAGAAACTGGCTCCAGAGAGGAAGGGCGGGTTCTTGACGAAGTTCACATTGCAGGGGGAGATCGGCTTTGCAAAACTTTAAACTATCGCCACCGGACAGTAGAGGGGTATTGTCATATGTATATAGCGGGCCCTACACATTCCAGGATCGTTTGTGAATTGTGGGTTCCCTTCTCCGGCAAAAGCCGCCAACCCTTGAGCTGCTGTCTCCCTGCTCACAAAGATTGCCAGGAACGCAGCTGACTCTTCCTGCCAGCAACCAGCCGGCACGGGCGCGGGTGAGAGGCGAGGCTTCCTTCTCGTTCTCTCGTGTTCGCCTCCGTGCCTCCGGAGGAGCCACCCGCCAATCACGTACACGCTCCGCAGTGCCGGCGGCGAGCCCCGCGATTTCGTATTGGACAACACGCAGTGCGCCCCGACTCTCTCTGCGCAGCGGGCCCTTTATGGGGGCTGGCAGATTCAAAAGGTATGGCGAGCCAGGGTGGGATGGGGGCAGGGAGGGACGTGGGCAGGGACAGAAAAGGACGGCGGGGAGGGGACGGGAGGGGAGCAGAGGAGAGGGGATGCGAAGTAGGAAGGGGGGGATTTGTTCTGCCCTCTGAGCATGAGGCTTCTCGCACTTTAGGGAGAGCATCTGCGGTATGTGCAGCTACTCTGCTGGGAAAGCGGCTGCTTGTTGCGCATCTACATGGGCATCCCTCAATAGATCGCCACATTTTGTACGGCATCTCTGGCGCGCTGTGATATGGCAGGGACCACTACGTTTTCATCGTGCATCGAGTTTGTATCGGAGGTTGGTGGGTGAGATCGTAGCAATATGAAATCGCCCAACTGTGAGATCGGTGGTTTGGCTCGCATCGTGTGTGACATGCCTGCGACGCGGAGCTTGGCGAGTTCCTACACTAGCTAGGCCGAGGTGGCGCCACAGTGAGTCGGGTTCTCGAGCGCCGGGGCGTGCTCGAGGTCGTCCCGCAGTCGGCCCGTGGTGTTCCCATGGTTGTCTTGTGGTTGTTTTGCGGATTGTCCTGGTGGTTGTCCCTATGTATTTCCTGCTGACTGTCCCGACGGTTGCCCCCGATGGTTGTCCCGACAGTTGTCCCCTGGTCGTCCGACGGTGTCCCGATGTTTTCATGCGGTTTGCCCAAGTATGCTGAAGATGTTCATGGACAGCGGTCACATCCCCGTCGTGGCCTCCCTGGGAATCTCTGCATACCCCCTCCAACATCCCTGGCTCAAGTTACCGCCTTCCGAATCAATTTTAAATAACTCGGCGTGAACCGTTTTTGTTTCTTTCTTTTTTAAACAAAAAAAACCTGGCTCAAGTTGCTCGCCGCGAAGGACTATCCTTGTGAGGCCGCCACGTCAGAAAGTGCTGCACTCGGCAGGCGCTCGGCGGATACCTCTCAGGCTGGCACTATCGGTCCTCTGCTGCGCTCCGAGGACTTCGCCTCCTGTCAAGCGCAGCGGCTTCAGCACGCTGTAGGGTACTATCTCCATCGTAAGGTTCATTTCGATGCTGATCGTTCCCACAGGCAGAATGTCCTTGGCAACACACTCGAGCTTTGCATTGTGACATTTTGAAGTGTGAGGAAGTTCTGACTCGTGCATCCGATTCAGATGAGGATCTGCAAACAACTCCGCGGCTGCCCGCTATTGCCGCCATCAAGAACTCCAGATTCGATATGGGGAACGTATTAATTATGTTGCGGTCTATGACTCGTCGGAGTCCCCGTGTAGTTCCCCAGAGGGTAGTTGGAGCCCTTCGTGAATTTTGTCGTGACGTGTTCAAGGCCCGTTCGGTCAAATCTAGCCGCTGGCACGATATCAACTCGTTCCTGGGAGGCCCAGTCGAGTGTACTTGTGAACACCCAATCGACACCTCGCGGTTCGGGGATGGCTGCGAAGTGCGCACGTGTCGCCACTGTCGTGGGTTCCTGTGTGGCCCAGCCGAGTGGATTTGTAAACGCACCCAGCCGATACCTCGCGGATCGGGGATGGTTGCGAAGTGCGCACGCGTCGCCATGTTCGTGGGATCTTGGGGGGCCCAATGGAGGGGAGCGTTTTACGCTCCCAGCCGAGACATCGCGGTTCCTTGTGGAGCTGTGACATGCGCGACCTTCGCCACTTTCGTGGGCTCCTGCGTGTCCCTCAACATGTTCCTTTGTGTGGATCGGTCCTGTGTGTCGCCGCCGCGTGTATAGACAGGGCTTGGTACGTCGCAGGGCAGGTGTTCTTGACCGTGTCCGAAGAACGCAGTTTCTTACAGCCCTGCCACCAAGTTCACGCACACACCACACACACACACACTACGTTTTGGAGCTGAGCTTGCCGAGCTTCACGCTGTTGCGAAAGCCGCCTGCCTTAAGTATATTCGCAGGTCCCCTGAAGTCCCCACGTCTCCTGAAGTCCCCAGAAGTCCCCTGAAGTCCCTTGAAGTCCCCAAGAACGTGGCACTGTTGAACATATCCCGTATCGTCGGTTCCGTGGTTGGCACCAGCATTTGGTTTCCCCCATAGATGCGTGACTTACGTCTTAGGTCACGTTCATAATTTCTGGCCTGGACCGACATCGCTAGCAATACCCTACAATAAAGGCTGTACGCCCTCATCCGCAGGAGCACCCCAGGTTGAACCTGCTCAGGGTGTCCTTATTCGACGCGCCCGATGTTTTCCTGGCGCTCATAGCAGCCACGTCGACCCATGTTGTGAAACGTTGAAGAGAGTGTCGCAGGTCACCTCAGTGTCGCCCCATGCCGCCTGCGCACAGCCTCTTCCAGCACCTCGCTCGGCCAGATTTCATTTACAGTCTGTCGGGTGTTTGCTCGGATGCGACATTTGCTTTTCAGGTTCCTACCAATCGAAGGCGCCTGCGGCGAATCACCGCCGCCTCCTGCCTTTTGGAATCGCCCATGTGGCCGAGCGCTATGGCAAGAGCTCTGCCAAGCTATCGGACCATGTGTTTCCCCAACCGTTGTGGAAACCCTTCGGGGAACACGTGGGGGAGGATGGCGGGGAAGATCAGGAGGAGATCTTGGGAGTCTCTGGGGGCACTTTTGGGGCCTCCTGGGAGCTTCAGTGGAGCCTCTCGAAGGCATCTTGGGGGCCTCCTTGGACCTCTTGGGGACTTTTGGCGGTTTTTTCGGGTGATTATTTGGCCGTCTTAGGGCAGGCATGGCCCGTCTGGCGCGGTCGGAAGCCGTCTTGGAGGCCTCTCTGGGCCGACTTGGGACGCTCTTGGGGTGCTTCGGGGCTGTCTTGGAGGCCATCTTTGGCGTCTTGGAGGCCTCTCGGGCCGTCTGGGTGACCTCTTGGGGCCGTCGTCATGGGAGACTCTTGGGCCGTCTCGGGCCGTCGGAAGGCAGACAAAAAGCACGTGCCCAAATCCTCCAAGCACCGAAGGACAATCAATGAGTTTGGCCTCTTCGGGCCTTCCTGGAGGTCCTTTGGGAGGCACTTGGAGACCTCTGGCGCCGTCTTGGGCCATCTTGGAGCCATCTTGGGCCGTCTCGGTGGGCTCCTGGCCGGTCTGTCGCCGTCTCTTTGGAGTCCTCTGGGGCCTTCCTGAAGACCTCCTGAGGGCTTCTTGGGGCCGCAGCACCGCGCCGGTTCACTGCGGAGGGCACGAGAGGGGAAGGCGATGGAGAGAAGGGGGCGGCCTCCGAAGGAACGCCCCGTGGACGCACCAAGGTGCCCGAGCGATGCCCCGAGAAACCCAGCGAGGGCCCACTCAAGCTCCCAAAGCTACGTCCAGGTGGCCTGCGAGAGATCCCCCATGAGACCCTATACGCGCGATCTCTCAAGAGGCCTCGCGGCCGCAGACAAATCGCGGCGGTAGTAGGACCCGGTGGAAGGTCACTGGATAACACCGGAGCTGGAACCTCAGTCCAGATGCGTTTTCAGTTCGGGGGTCGGCGGAACTGCGATCGCTTCTCACGTAAACAGGTGGAGAAGGAGGAGTAAGCCAGTGCAGAAAAGGGGGCGCGTTGGGTTTTTACCTGCGCCGGCGCGCGAAGCTCCGCGCGGGCCCGCCTGCAGCGCCTCCGAGGCGCCGCAGCTCGCGGCCGTGGAGGACGCTTGAAGTGCTGCCTTCGTCTTCAAGGTATTGCGATTTCGCTGACTCTGCCCCTGCGCAAATAAGTCGTGCCCCGCCGATCCAAATTACGCGGATTTCTTGGCGCGTGCTATGCAAAGCAACGTGTCCCGCGCGCACGTTGGTCAAGTTTTGCGTCGAGATCGCGCCCGAACAGCTACGGGCGCATTCCCGCCCCGATGAGGTCCCGCGGGCGCCGCGCGCAGCCATGCAAGAGCTCGCGGCGCCCCGGCACGCAGCGCATCGCACTCGCGATTTTCGCGGGGGCCGCGCGCGGGACACGGCTGTCCGAGGGTCGCGGCCGGCAGACATCTTTCGAGCCAGAGATGGGCGATCAGCGGCTGTCTTGTTTCATGTGGACAAGGGCGAGCTGGTGGCGGGCGCCATCGGGGGAGCGCGCGGCGACCCGTCGCCCAGCGAAACTGATGAGGGCTGAGTGATTTGAATTTGCGCATGCGGGCGCCTCTCGCGAGTGCGGCGCCCGGCGTTCCCTCGCGCGCCCGCGCAGCAGGCGCCTGGGGCGTCGCTGCGCCCGCGGGCGCGGGCCTACCCGACGAGTTCCAGAGCGTGAATTACCTACCTCGCTTTCGCTTCCAGGCAAAACCAAGCCATACCACGCGCCTCCTCGTCAAGCGGCCTGACCAGTACAGGCTGCAATTTGGTATCGTTTGGTATTGCTTGGAAGCGAGGGTGGTCAAAAGCGAGGTAGGTTTGTTTCCCCCTAAGAGTTGCACTCCCCGCGCTCCCCCCCCAACCCTGAAGACGTCGAGGCTAGCGTCCTGCGCGGGCGAGGGCACCGCACAGTGTGTTCCGTGCCCCGAACACGCGCGCCTAGATTGCGTTTCTCCCTCGCCGCCTCCCAGCGGGCACCGCGAATCGCCGCGCAGGGCCCTCGGGCGGGGGGGGCTACGAGCGGAGTCGGCTGGGGGGGGAGCGGACGGGGGGCCGGGCGCGCCCCCCGGGTCTTCGTGAACTCCGCGCTCCGGGTGTTTGTTTTCCCTCGAAATTCAACTCCTCCTCCTCCTCCTCCTCCTCCTCTCCTCCTCCTCCTCCTCCTCCTCCTCCTCCTCCTCCTCCCTGCGGCGCGGGAGGGCGAAGATGCCCCCCGCGCGCGACGCGCGGCGCGCGCCAGCACGCTCCGCGCGCGCGTCGCCGCGCCGCCGCGGCTGCATTTACTTGTCTTCTGCCTCGCCCTTCGCCGCTCCGGCGGTTGGGGGCGGGGTCGCGGGGCGTCGCGCTGCGCCCGCGCGCCGCCGCGGGGCGCGGCGGCTCGGCGAAGGCGTCGCGCGCCCGCCCCGCGGGCGCGGGCCTACCCAATGGGCAGCGCTTCCCGCGCCATGCCCCAACCCCGAAGCTGTCTAGGGTAGGGTCTTGTGTGGAGGTGCGCGGTGAGATGCAACCGCGGGGTGACTGCTGACCGTTTTTTTCAGGCGTGGTTGACCTGGGGGCCATGCGCAGCATGGTCTTTTGCCAGTGTTCGCTAGTACCTGCGTGCCCGTCTTTCCTCTTTTGCCTACGTTCCTTCAGCCTGGCTTGCATGCTCCACGGTTGATTGCCCGACGATGTCTAGCCACCTTTCGACAAAAAAAACACAGAGTCTCTTTTTTTCTCCTTTCCTTTCGGCGATGGGGCGATGCAGGGATCCCGAGTGCTTGCCAGGTTCGATATGATACATGTGTCCCTCCGATTGTGGGGGATGGAGCTGTACATTCTGGGTCATCTTGGATAAACGGACTTCGCTGTGCTTGGGGTCGTGGACACGAAGGCGTTGTTAGAGGCCTCCTTAGGGTGATTTCGGAGGCCTCGCTGGGGCCTCTCGGGGCCCTCCTAAGGGCTTCTTGGGGGCCCACGGGCTTCTTGGGGGCCCACGGCCCTCTTGGTGGCCTGCCGGTTGTCTCGTGGGCTATCTTGGGACAGCGGGCTCCACATTGCAGCTCAAATTCCCCCTCGTGGGCCCCTGTGGGAGTCCCCTGGGAGCCTCTTAGGCCTCTCTTGGGGGCCTCGGCTGCTCTCTGGGGTGGGTACTGGGAGCCTCGTGGGCCGTCTTGGGCATTTTGATGGTCTATAGGCGAACCTCACCCACACAAATATCAGGATGTCTGATGATGTTGGCTTCCCGGTCTGGCCCAGCAAGCCTCCACGACAACCCGAGAACAATCCAGAGGGCCTGAGGATGGCCCCCTGGGGCTACCAAAGGTTCACAAGCCTTTTCTGGGTGTTTGGTGTAAGCAGGTTAGGCGGGGACGTGGAAGTCGTTTTTGGCGTCCTGGAGGCCCACGTGGCAAGCGCCGAGAGCGCACAGGAGCGCGCAACCATTCCGGAGTCCTACAGTCGCTTCAACACAAACATTTGCCTGCGCCTTGCGGTAATTCATTGTTTGTCAAGGCACACTGTGGCTCTATCGCGTCGCGTGCCGTGACCAGTTGCGGAATCACCGCCTGCTGGCCTTGGCACAACGATCATGGGGGTACTATGATACTTCCGTGCACCGAGGTCCCGCCAGTTTTTGATTGCGATGCTCTGATTCGGGGACCCTGATGGACTGTTGTTGTTGTTGTTGTTTGCAGAATGGCGTGTGGCTGCGGTCTGCGCATGCCAGGTACATGACCTCCAGGGAAGACGCGTGTCTGCCAGCTTTCATGCGCATCGACGTGCCGCCAGCGCACGGCCCTGCGATGGTGCTGAGCTGCGCTGGTGAGTGGATTGAATTCGTCAGAATATACAGTGCACAAGCGGCAGTGACAGCGACGGTAGCCGGTAGCGGTGGCGGCAGTAAAAGGATAGCTAGTGCAGTTTCAGACATAGGTTGACGCCCAGGGGAAGAGGCATCCAATCGGTCGAGCGCCGCGGCCCAAGTGGCACATTGACGGGCTGGAGAATGAAGGTAAGGGCTCCAGGAGGGAAGAAGCGGAGGAGGAAGGGATGATGTTGGTGGAACCGGGTCGGCGGATGGTGTTATGAGGGCAGCAGGAAGGAATGGGACTAGTTTTGCGAATGTTGACGACATCTCGCAATGTCTGCGACGTTCTACCGTAGAAAATCCGAGCTTCATCTTCTCAGAACGTTTCGGATCAAGGTAGGGCGGACGACGCCATGATAGTGTCTGGCAGGGGGTGTCGGAATCATGGGTCTCCGTTCGCGCGAATCTAGTTGCTTGTTGCCGGTGGGGCCTAGCCTGGGGCCCACGTGTAGAGATCGTGAGGCTCTTTTGCGGGTCTGGACTCCGCTCAAAGTCAAAGCAAGGGTCCGTGCAGCCTCCCGAAACGGCAAAACCTCGACTCGTAGAGTTTTTGTGGTTTCCCCCCGGAGGCTTTCTGAGCCCTCAGAGTCAGGTGCTCGGCGAGGTGTTCCTCCGCCAGTACTTCTCGGTCTTCGACCGCGGAGACGGCAGCGACGCGGACGCGCGAGTCGGCTTCGCGCGGGCGAAGGGGGCCGATGAGGTCGAGCCATGCGCCATGCGCACTGCCTTTCCCCCTCCCCGCCCTTCCGTACGTATGTGGTGCATCGGGGATGGAGGTTCCCACGGCCTGCGTCGATGGCAATTCGAGGCGTGACGATCTGGAGATCCGTCCGCCGAGGTAGGACGCAACACAGTAGAACCAAAAACCAGATTGGCCCATGATGTGACGCCATCGGCCACGCGGCCGGGACAACAAACGAACCCGGCCAGACACAAACATTCTAGAGTTTGGGGCTGCACAGCAGGAGTCAGCAGCAGTGTAGCATAGCAGTGTGTGCGGCTCTCAGGTAAATACGGTGCGACCCTACGACTGCATGAACCTTGTAGCGGAGAGCCAGTCGAATGCGGTGCGAACCCACGCCTGCATGCGAGTGTCCGTTGATGTTTGCCCAATTGGGATGCGGGAGGAAACACGTTCCCCCCTCACACCGCTCATGGTGGCCCAGGTTGCAGAGGCGGCTGACTTCAGGAGGGAAAAGACACACAGACACAATTAATCGTCGATTCCCCCGAAAATATGGGAAAATATGGGAGGGGGGGGAAGACAAACACACAGAAAATATGGGGAATCCTGTTATTTGTGTTTATTTATTTGTGTGTCCCAGGGCCCCTTCGTGACTACCTCTTGCGAGCGGCCCTCGGGGTCTGTGTGCGCGGCCTCGGCGTCCTCCCTTTTGTTGTAATGCAGGCTTCGTCGGGGCCTCTTGCGTGTGGACGTTTGGACGAGTCTTGGGGGCGCCTCGGAACTCTTGTGGACAATCTCTTCTGGCCGTCTTCGGACTGTTCACTCGGATCGTATGTTGGGTCATGTTTGGGCCGTGTTGGACCCCTCCTGGGGATGTCTGCAATGATCAAGCCACATTACATTGTTTCGGATGTTCAATGTGTTTGACCCCTGGGGTATGGCGGGAGGCCTTCCTGCGGGCATGTTGGCGTCATTTTGGAACCTTGGTTGAATCGTCGGACATCCTGCAGCCGTATTAGGGCGGTCTTTGACCGTCTTGGAGCCACGTATACCGCACCCCGCCCATTCCAGCACACCCCTCACACTTCCCTTATCCACATAGGCATTTCCCCCTAAGGCCCCATTGTTCACATCCTTCAGGGAGCTCCACATTCGGCCGCAGTGGGCACGTTCGCATGCCGCCCCTCGCCCATTTCGACGCTCCTTTCAGGGAGCTCAGGCCGCTTTTGCGCGCGTGGCCCGCAGTATCGTACCCACACTCTCTGGAACTCCGTCCGTCCCGCGGCGCGCAGTATACGAGAAGATGTCCGCAACCTGCGCCACACGCAGCCTCATTGTTTTGGCTCGCTTGCCAAGCTAAGTTTGCGACTTCATAGCATGACGAGTCGAGTCCATGTGTCAAGGCGCCCGAACTGCATCCCCAACATGCGGTCCCGCTTCCTTAGCCCATCGACCTCAGTGAGGACCAGATGCAACCCACCCAACATCAATTACTTCATGCCTCTCTCGTTCGCTTAACTACCTTTCACTGCACCACAATGCAGTTCATGTCAGATCTAGTGAAGGATGCTCAATCCGTTCCAAGGCCTGAGGATGCGTCTGGGCCGTCTTGCCGAAGGAGCCCGAAAAGGACACACCGACTGACATAACATCCCGAATGACCAGATCTCCTGTCAACAACACGGACGACCAGATCTCCGTTTCTCCTCCCCCACCCTGCCTCCTCCTTGATCGCAGCACTCTCGCTCGAGGCACCTCCACGATCTCAAGCACGGCTCCCTTCTGAGAAGCCCCTCCAATCTACCAAGAGATCGTGCTGGCGCCTCCAGGCCGGCTGCATCCTCCCTCGGGCCAGAGGCGTCCAGACCTTCTCCCAGAGCACCGAATGGACGACAGGAGTGGATTCAGGTGTCTCGTTTGGGTCTGAGACCCCTCCTCTCCCCCCCCCTGCTCTCCCTCTCGGATCCCAGGGTCTCCATTATGGACGACAGGAGTGGAATCGAGTGTTTCGTTTGGGTCTGACCCCTCCTCCCCCCCCTTCTCTCCCTCTCGGATCCCAGGGTCTCCATGATGCTTCAGACGACACGGGCCGGACCACCTTGCGCGCAGCATCTCGGAGCCCAGGTTTGCGAGGATGCCCTCAGCGAAACGGGCCGGACCTCCTCGCGCACACTTTGTCAGAGCCCACATTCGTGAGGATCTCGCAGGCGAAACGAGCCGGACCACCTCGCGCGCATCTTCTCGGAGCCTTGGCGAGGATGTCTTGGGCGAGACGCGCTGGACCACCTCGTGCGCGACATCTTCGAGCTCAGAGATGCGAGGATGTTGCAGGCAGGCAGCGCCCAGACCCCATTTTACAGCAGAAGTGTAATCAAATGGTTCTTTTCGGTCTGACCCCTCCTCTCTCGCGAAGCCCATTACCAGGAATGCTTAGGCGAAACAGGCCAGACCACCTCGCGCCCAGCATCTCGGATCCCCCGCTTCCGGCAAAACAGGCCGGACCACCTCGCGCGTGGCATCTCGAAGCTTAAAGTCACGAGGATGCCTCAGGCGGAACGGGCCAGACCACTTCGGTCGCAGCATCTAGGAGCTTCGAGTTGCGAGGACGTCTCAAGCGAAACGGGCCAGACCTTCTCGCGCGCAGCATCTCGAAGCCCGCGAAACGCGCCCGACCACTTCTCGCGCGGCATCTCAGAGCCTAGAGTTTCGAGGATGTCTCAGGCGAAGCGAATCGACCCAGACCACCCCATTTTCTTGAGGATGTCTCTGCATGCCCGTCCTTCAATCTAGTTGCTACCACAACAGCACCCCGTTCAAGACGCTTGTTGTAAAACATGTTAGAAAAGAGCGTGCTCATAATATTTCAGTGCTTGAGGTCGAAGGTTTCAAAAGACCACATACAGAAGTTTAGAACAGAACTTGTACGACCCCATGCCGCTGGGGCACCATGGCAACAGGGCGTTACAATGCACAGGTACCACGATGTCGCAACACCAAGGTAGCACGACACCGCGACGCAACGGCACCCAAGACACGCCACGATATCTCACGACACCCAGAAGGTTTCGCCCGCCAGCAGAACAGAGGCAGACAGGGCTTCTTCTGGCCATCTAGCTCGACGACCTTGGAATGCGCACAATTTCCCTCGCACGTCCCTCCCGCCCGACGCGAACACGAACTCAGATTTCCGGGGGAAGGGGGGCTGCGTCAAAGAAGCTTTCATACCCCTATTTTCCAAACACTCTGACCGCTCTGGCGACTTCCTGTGTAGGACACCACCCTGGACATGTGCATGATTGCGCAATCAATTCAGGTGCGTATGATTTTATAGACAACATGTGAACACATCCGCTTGCCTCACATACGTCGGTGTGAGCTGCCCGCATCATGCGAACACAGCTGTAAGTTTCAAGTCGCAGTCGGCATGCATAAGATGCCGCGCTGATGTTAACATGTAGCCTCTTTGGCTCGAGCAGTTTGGAGTAATTAGGGCATCACCGGCTAGTCTTGCCGCCCTGGTTTTACGTCCGAGACGGCATGCTTCTGATTGCCTACAAGGCCGTGATTATCGCCGTAGCAGCAGCAGCTGCAGGGAACTCTCCGAACTTTCATGGTTGTATTTCCGATGTGGCGAAGCAGTTCCCTTACTGTGATGCATCTTTGCCGATGGACAAGAGGCTCGACGACCTTGTATCAAGATTAAACCTCACCGAGAAACTTCAGCAAATAACCCCGCAGGCTGACCTTGGCAGCACTTGTACCACATTCACGCGTGGCAGCAGTCGGCTCGGAATTCCTGAGTGGCTCTGGCTTGTTGAGACAAACACCAACGTTGCCTCTGGATGTCCAAAGGAGGGACATTGTGCCACGACCTTCGTTGGCCCAATGGGCCTCGGGGCCTCTTTTAATCGCACATCGTGGCGGTTGAAGGGGACCGTGTTTGGGAACGAGATGCGCGCATTTACAAACATAGGGGCGTCTAGGTTTCAGCCTGATGGGAAGAATCCGATCGGGTTGACTGGCTTCGGACCTAATATCAACATCGCGCGCGATCCAAGATTCGGAAGGGCATCCGAGCTTCCAGGAGAAGACCCCGTTCTCTCTGGAATCTATGCGCATGAAATGGTGGCTGGCATGCAAGAGAAGGATCAATCTGGGTACCCCAAAATGGTTACTTTTCTCAAGCATTTCACCGCTTATTCTACGGAACGCAACCGTGGACATGACACATATAATATCAGCATGTACGATTGGTTTGACACGTACCTTCCACAGTATGAGAGGGTGTTCACGCAAGATCCCAAGCCAGTCGGGGTCATGTGCTCATACAACGCAGAGAACGGAATTCCATCGTGCGCAAACGAATTCTTGTTGAACCAGCAGCTTAGATCGTGGAGCCCCGATGCCATGGTCACGACGGATTGTGGTGCTGTCAAAAACCTCAAGGGTTTCCCAGTGAACGCGCCAGACGATATGCATGCTGCAGCATATGCCCTTATGAATGGGACAGATTTGGAGATGGGCGAGTCTATTTTCGGAGTGTTGGACAAGGCTATTGCCGCTGGACTCGCAACAGAAAAAAGACTGAATGAAGCTGTGCGCAGGAGCTTCAAGGTCCTCTTCCAAGTCGGGCGCTTCGACCCCCCAGAGGCTTCGGAGTGGTCGAAATTTGGCCTCGACACCATCAACAGCACCTTTCATCAGCAGGTTTCCTATGAAGCTGCTTTGCAGAGTTTGGTTCTCTTGAAGAACTCTGGCATCGATGGAGATGGGGACCAGAGGACTTTGCCCCTGAAACAGGGGAGTCGTGTGGCTGTTGTTGGTCCTCAAGCTGTTACAAGGGCTGGTTTGTTGTCGGATTACGCAGCGGATCAGCAATGCTTCGGAGGGGACGACCATTGCATCGGGACCATCGCGGAAGGCATCGCTGCGGCCAACGTTGGTGGGGTGACAACGTCTGCGCAGGGCGTTGAAGTAAACAGCAAAAATACGGATGGGATCAAGGAGGCGTCAGATATAGTCTCTGCAGCCGATGTTGTGGTGCTCGTTCTGGGCAATGATAAGACCATCGAGCATGAAGGCATAGACCGAGTCGACACAGCATTGCCTGGCCTGCAGTCCAGTTTTGCTAAGCAAATTCTTGCCTTGAACAAAACTACAGTCCTTGTGCTCACGAATGGTGGTGCTTTAGCAATTGACGAGCTCACAGAACGCTCCCATTCAGGCTCTCCAGCAGATGCTCCTGAGCCTGGCTACGCGATTGTCGAAGCCTTCAATCCAGCAGTGCTTGGTGGAAAAGCCATTGGAGCTAGCTTGTTTGGCATAGAGAATCGCTGGGGGAAGCTGCCAGTCACGATGTATCCTCACGACTACGTTGACCAGCAGCCCATGACAAACTATGACATGTCCGTCAGTCCTGGCAGGACCTACAAGTATTATCTGGAGGGCTGTGCCCTCTGCCGCCGGCCCCCCAAAGTGGAGCCATTGTATCGGTTCGTTTCGGTTATAGTTTTTCCCGGAAAGGGCTGGGGCCCATGGTTCTCTCTTAGATGGTTCCTCCCAGGGACGACTTGAAGAGGGCCGGCTAATTGAATTTGCGATCAATCTCGAGGTCAAAGAGGCCAGCGAACTAAACATTGAGGATGTCCCGAGTGAAACGCTGGCTTTTGAAATCCCGCTGGATAAAACACATGGTAACGTGCGCATTTTCGTTTGTTGCGGATGTCTCAAGCGAAGCGCTTGTTTTGCATAATGTGTTGAGGATCTCTCAAGCGAAATTCTTGTTTTGGAGACTTCCAAGAACCTGGACGCCCAAGGATGCCCCAGGGGGCCCTGGGAGTGCGGACGCAGCGCAATTTACGAAGGATCGTTGCCTTGGGAGCGTGGACGACGCAGTTTAGTTTACCAGGGATCGTCGTCGTGGCCCAGGGAGAGCGGACGCAGCGTAATGCGTAACTTACAAAGATCGTGGCCCTGGAAGGGCGGACGCAGCGTAACGGATGGTGGCCTTGGGAGCGCAGACGCAGTGTAATTTGCAATGGATCGTGGCCCTGGGAGCGCGGACGCAGTGAAATTCATTTGGGATCCTGGCCTTGGGGGAGCCGACACAGCGTAATTTACGAGGGGACGTGGCCCTGGGAGCGCGGACACAATGATATTCACAAAGGGAGCGCGGCCCGGGGAGCGCGAGCGCAGCGTGCATCACGAGGGATCGCGGCCCAGAGAGAACGGACGCAGCGTACTTTACTAGGGATCGTGGCCCTGCAAGGGCCCTTGGGGGGCTGACGCAGCGTAATTTACTAGGGAACGTGGCCCTCGGAGCGGGGACGCAGCCACATTCACGAGGGAGGAGCGCGGCAATGGAGGGGACGTAGGGTAGTTTACCAGGGGAGCGTGGCCCAGGGAAATCGGACGCAGCGCAATCTACTAGGAATCGTGGCCTCGGGAGCGCGGGCGCAGCGTAACTTACTACGGATCGTGGCCCTGGCAGCGCGGATGCATTGGAAGGTACGAGGGATCCTGGCCCTGGGTCAGGGACTTCCCGTGGCACGGGGACGTCCCGCTGCACGTTCCTTGGCACGTCCCCCGGCGCGTCGCTTGGCATGTTCCCTGGCACGTTCTTTGGTGCGTCCCGTGGCGAGTCCCCCATGGCACGTTGCACGGCGCGTCCCCTGGCACGTCCCGTGGCACGTCCATTGGCACATTCCGTAGCGCGTCCCTTTGGCACGTGCGTAAGTTACGAGTGATAGTGGCCTTGGAAGCGTGGGCGCAGCTTATTTTACCAGGGATCGTGGCCCAGGGAGGGCGGACGCAGCGTAATTTCCTAGGGAACGTTGCCGTGGGAGCGCGGACGCAGGGTGATTTTCGATGGATCGTGGCCGACGCGGTGCAATTTACTTGGGATCCTGGTCTGGGGGGGGGGGCGGACACGGCGTAGTTCACGAGGGAGCGCGGCCGTGGGAGCGCGGACGCAGTATACTTTACATGGGGTCGTGGCCCAGGGAGAGCAGGCGCAGCGTAAGGTACTAGGGATCGTGGCCTTGGAAGCGCGGACGCAGCGTAATTTATTATGCATCGTGGCCCTGGGAGCGCGGACGCAGCAGAAGTTACGAGGGGTCGTGGCCCCGGGAGCACGCACGCAGGGCAATGTGTTAGGGGACGTGGCCCTCGTAGCGCGGACGCAGCACAACTCACGAGGGAGCGTTGCCCTGGGAGCGCAGGCGCAGCGTAGTTTACGAGGGAGCGTGGCCCAGGGAAATCGGACGCAGCGCAATCCACTGGGCATCGTGGCCTCGGGAGCGCGGGCGCAGCGTAACTGACGGTGGATCGTGGCCCCCTGGGAGCGCGGACGCATCGTAATTTACGAGGGATCTTTGCCCTGGGTCAGGGACTTCCCGCGGCACCTTCCCTGACGCGTTCCCTGGCACGTCCCCCGGCGCGTCGCTTGGCACGTTCCCTCGCACGTCCCCTGGTGCGTCCCGTAGCGAGTCCCCCTGGCACGTCGCGCGGCGCGTCCTTTGGCACGCCCCGTGGCACGTCCATTGGCACGTTCCGGAGCGCGTCCTCATTGGTACGTCCCGCGGTGCGTCCCCTTGGCACGTCCCCTGGCACGTCCCCTGGCGTTTCTCTTGGCACGTTCCGCGGCGCATCCCCGTGGCGTGTCCCCCTGTCATTTAGCTCTGGAGCAACTACTATATGTGCTCAGGCACCTCGAGCTTAAGATCCAGATCAGTTCGGTCAGGACTCGGATGCAAAGGAGGACTCGATCCACAACGCCATAGAGCACAATCGCGGCATGGCGCATTGCAATTCAGCACAGCGCAGCACAGCACAGCCATTGGCATGGTACATCAAGATCGAAGCATTCCGCATTGCAAGTGCCCGTCGCCCAATCCGGTGATCTGCAGACGTTGCCATGCTTCACATGTCAATATTCCTGTCCGGGTTCGTTGGTCGATCGTGTTGCGCGTCTGGAGCGCGTGAGTTCTGGGCGTTGCAGCTGCCCAATCTCCCTCCTCGCCGTTCCTCCTCCTCTCATCGCCTGCCCCCAATCCCTCCCCCCCCGGCCGCCTCGATGCCTCTTACGCCTCGATTTCCCGCTCCGCTTCCATATCCGTTTCCTCTTCTTCTTGCTCCTCTTCCTCCTCCTCATCATCATCCGTCTCGCTCTTCTCCTCGCAGTCCTCTGTCTCTTAGTATCCACTTGGCGCCCATCTGGTGGCCTCTTATGGGTATATTAGCGGTTATTGGGGCCCGCTTGGGCTCTTTTGGGCCCCTCCTGGACGTTTTGTTTTCCCCGGAAAGACAGGGGGCCCAGGGTGTGCTTTTAGAAAGTCAACCTGTCCCCTGGTGCATCGACTGAGGTGGGCCGGCGAACTTCCGCTCGATAAATAACGAGGTCATGTTTGATGTTCCGTCGAGAAAGTGCGTTTCGCGCGTGCCCGCTCGAGGAACATGTTACCCCTTAAGCCTCGCCGTTTTGGGGCTCTGCTGGGCCGTCTTGGGCACGTCTCTCGGTCCTATTCAAAAATTGTGGGGCCCTCTCAAGGTTCTCTCGGGACCTCTGGGGTCGTCCTGGGTCATCCTGGAGGCATCTTGGGCCGTCTTGAGGTCCTGGAGTCTCGAAGGCAATAGCTCGATGTGTGTGTGTGTGGTTTCTGGTAACCTTCTTGGGTGTTATCTTGTGTCCCTCTTGTGGCGTTTTGGGGGCATGTCTGCCCGTATTGAGGTTATCTTTGGGCGTCTTAGGGGCCCTCTTGGGTTGTCTTGGGCAGTTGGGGTTCTATTTAGAGCTTTCGGGTGTCGTTTTCGATGCCTCTTAGAAGCTCATGGTAGTGCGGTTGCGCCTTTTGGGGACTTTGGGGAATTTCAAAGCGATCAAAAGTTCGAGCCCACGAGGTGTCTCTTTCGGCGCCGCGGGCCCCCTGGTAGGCAGAACAATGGAGATGGGGCTGGCGAGACAAGTCACACATTATGATAAGATCGGACAGCAGTCCAGCAGGATCCTTCACAGCCTGACGCCTCCAGAGGGGCTGGTTGATCAGGGAACGCCGCTGTTTCCTTTCGGTTTCGGTCTGTCTCTCACAACCTTCAAGCTGAGCAGTTGCTCCAAATCAAGCTCTGGGGTTCGTTGCGCACTGACTAACACGGGAAACAGAAATGGAGACGAAGTCGTCCAGTTGTACCACACTGCGAAGTCAATTGGCAAGGTGGACCATCCTCTTCCGAAGAAGGCCTTGGTCGATTTCACACGAGTGACCCTGACCGCAGGAAGTTCAAAGACCGTGAGTTTCGACTTTAGCGATGATGTCTTCAAAATTGTCAATAAGAATGGCCATCGCACACTTTATCCAGGACTTCACGTGGTGACCATTACCCGGGGTGAAACTTCCGATGAGCAGGTGTTGAATTATACCATTCCGGCGGAGAGAGTTGAGTTTATTGTATGAAATGGCCGTCCCAGTTTGCGTATTTGATCGGCCTACGAGATCATCGTGTTGTAAGGTTTTTGAAGTGTTTTGGGTGTTGCTCGTTTGAGCATTGCTTGCTTGTGTGACATGCGTTGTGTTTTACAATTGTAACGGATGATCTGATTTATGCGACGCAGTTGTGCTTGGATAAGCTGTATCTTGTTGGAGGACAGTTATTTTAACTTCCTCTTTACAATATCGTAGGGTTGACCCAGTTGTTGGTGGCAGTCTGGACAGTTTGAAGGATCTAAACATGCCAGCCGAGTGTTGCTGGACCGACGCGCAGTTTCAGGCCCAGTCATGTTAATGTGCTTTTGTTCCTTTAACGGACGCTGGGGCAGAGTGTCTCGAATTTCATGGGACACGCACGGGGTTTACGCGGCGCTTGTCTATCATTAGTTCTCTCCTCGTTCCTTTCCTAACCGTGACCGGATGATGAATATTCGGAGGGAGGCGTAGGAGGGAGCGAAAGAGATGGATGGAGGGGAGGGGTGACATGGGCAGAACGGATAGCGAGGGAGGGAACGGAGACTCAGACAGACGAAAGGGAGAAGGGAAAGGAAGGAAAGGGTGGTGGAAGGGAAGGAGGGAAGGACTGGAAGACAGGGAAAGAGAAGGAGATGGATAATGGGCGAGAGTAAACCCTGCATCGAAGGTGCTATAAGACACCTCCCGTGTCAAGTCCCCCCTCATCAAACTCTTCGTTTCGGGAAGTGCCACGTGAATAACAGGCGCCCCATGGTCCTTTCACTCAGGCGAGAGAGATGCGAGGTGTGCGAAGAGCTCGGATGAGGTGTGCGAAGAGGTAGGGCCATTCGTTGTGAGGAAGCCTCAAGCGGTAGCCCCGTGTTGAAACAGATTCGCCCTCCATACACGTAGGTGTGCACAATCCTCAATCTCTTGGTCATAAGTCGTAAGCATGGAGGAAGTCGTAAGCTAGAGCCCACTGTCGGTAAGGAGCCGCCCTGAACCCGTACAACTGATGCATAATTCTAAACGTCTTCATTTAGAAAAGGAGCAGGCATTCGCCCTTGTAGTTGCCTGACACGTTTATGACACATGCAAGGGGCGCTAACGCCAGAGCCACGAGTTGCCTTCACGCCTCGTACTCGTTGGCTGGCTATTTATCTGACGAATGCGTGCGGCGCTGAGGCGAGAGCCGCATTTTGCAAGCGGGCCATTATGCATCTTTATAGCTGTTGCGAGCTTTTGAGTCGAACTTGGGCGGCGCTAAGGCGAGAGGCACAGTGTGAAAGCGACCCGACCGCCATCCGAGAGACCGTTGGAACAGGTCAAGCTTCAGCGCCATAAGCGGCTATAACGTCCTGGGCCAAACGCTGGGCCCGCCCTGCCGATACGTCTGGTGGCGCGACGATGAGGAGTCATCTACATGGAAGACGGATGGAGTGGCGGAGCGAGGAGAGGGGAGGCCCGTTTCTCCTCCTCCATCTACCTTCCTCCTGCTGCTCTTTATTCCCCCGACGCATCCTCATGCTCTTGCTGCTCGTCGCCGTCCTTCTCGTCCTCCTCTTCCTCCACCTCCTCACGTCTCAGCGTTGTGACAGAAATGGCAACGGGCGTTGTTGCCCCCTTGCGGACCCAGGGCCCTCACGGATCGAATGGGCTCCAGAAGTCAGGTATGTATTTGAGGTCGAGTGTTTTGGTTCGGGTCATTCGCGGCGTCATGATCACGACGTCAGATGTCGGGGCTCTCTTTTTGTCCACCCTCTCTCCTTGGGTGTGGTTGGGGTGGATGAGTCGCGTTATCACCATGCTCTGGGTTATTGTCATTCGTTTGGGAAGCCTCGTGAGACTTGCTGGGCTCCAGGGATGGCCAACCCTGATCGACCTCACAAGGCAGGTAGAAGTCCTTTGGGTACCCAATGTGGCCCTCACGATACTTTCGATGACCCCTGTGCCAGATCCTTGCACTTTGAAAAGGGGGAAGCCCCTATCGAGGATGGACGCCCCCCAATCCTGTATCCCCCAGGCATCCCTTCCCTCTGCCCCCAAGGTCGAGCAGCGCCTCAAGGACCTCACGAAGCACCAGCCGGCGTTCGGGCAGCGCGGGGCGTCGCAACAGTCGGCCACCCTTGCGAGTTCCTGAGACGGCGAATTGCGCGAGCATTTTCCCGCCATCATCGGGGGAGGAGGAGGAGGAGGAGGAGGGTGGAGGAGGAGGAGGAGGAGGAGGAGGTAGAGGAGGAGGAAGAGGAGGAGGAGGAGGAGCAGACGGCGAATTGCGCGAGCATTTCCCCGCCACCATCGGGGGCCCATTTCGATCCGATCGATCTGCTTCGATCTCGCTTCTGGCTGGCCCACCTGATTCGATTCCGATATCCTTCAGGAGGGAAAAAAACACACAAACACAATTAATCGTCGATTCTCCAGAAAATATGGGAAAATATGGGAAGTGGTGGGGAAGACAGAAACCCAGAAAATATTGGAAAATATGGCGAATATGTTTATTTGTGTGTATTTATGTGTGTGCCCCAGGGCCCCTTCAATCCTTGCGATCCGATGCGCTCGATGCTCGGATGGCGCCGGTGTGCATCCTGGCGCGGCCGATCCGATCTGATGCCCACTCCGGGCCGATGCTGGCCGATGCGACGCATTTTTTGATCCACTCGACGCCGCGTGATCTTGCCTTCGACGCGTAATCGGCTCCACGCGGCGACAGTTTGCGCCCTGCGGGCGAAGGCCCGCAGGCCGTGGGTGTCGCCCCCCTGGCTGTGCGCCTCGTGCTCTGGCCAAAGAGGCGTCCGCCTCGCGCGGCAGGAGGCCTGCAGTTCCGGAGGGGGAGGGGGGGAGGGGGGCGGGGCGCCTGGGCGGAGCGTGTGGGGGCGGAGCGCCAATGAGTGCGAAAGCGTACCGAGCAGAATCGACGAGCTCGTTCCACGCATGGAGACATGGCGAGGCTGGTTGTTCAGGGCGGCATCTGAAGGGTCGCATGATGGTAATGCTGATGACTTTCAGTTGGAGTAGTTTAATTGCTCTTTTAACGAAACGCGATGGAGATGGGTTTCGGCGTCAAGAAGGTGGCGATTGTGGATGGGAAACCCTTCGGTGTTGTTGTGGATCATTGGGTGGCCCGTGCTACGAAAGGCGGCCGTTCATGGTTGATGTTGTTCGATGGTGAATGTTGGCTCGTGTATTTTGGTCGATAAGTTGGTGTCAGATGGCTGGTCGGGTACGGTGGATAGTCGGTGATGCATTGCATCGATTGCCGGTGACCCATTGGGACTGGCTACAGGTCACAGCTGTTGGCGATAATTTGATTGTGTGCTCTGCTGAGGCTGGCTGTTACTGCCTGCGTTGCCTGCTCATGCTGATGGCCAGGGCGCTTTGGAGGCGGGGCTCAATGGTCTGGACACATGAACCCCAGAATCGTTAGTGTGAGAGCGAATGGGGGGGCATTCGATGGAGGGCAGGTGGAGCAGGCAGTTATAGATGAGGGAGCATGGAGGAGAGGAGGGAGATGATGCTGAAGGAGGAGGAGGAGAAGGAGAAGGAGAAGGAGTAGAGAAGACAAGGAGGTAGAAAAAGGGGGAGAGGAGGGAGTGAGTGAGAGGATCAGGCAGACATGAAACCACGCGTGTCGTCTATTCCATTGCGCGGCCGCACGCGGAGGAAGAGAGAAGGCTGGGAGGCGGACAAGGGAGAGGTAGAGGCGGGCGGAGAGGAGGAGGAGGGGGAGGTTGGGGAGTCAGGGGGAGGATGAAGCAACGTGAGATTGCGTGCGTGCGTGCGTGCGTGCGCGCGTGTGTGTGTGTGTGTGTGTGTGTGTGTGTGTGTGTGTGTGTGTGTGTTTGTGTGTGTGCGTGTGCGTGTGCGTGTGCGTGTGCGTGTGCGTGTGCGCGTGTGTTGTATATTTCTACTCGGCTGCGCTGCCGCGCGTATCCGCCGCCACGCTGCAGCTGGCCCGAGGGTGTTAGGGGGGGGCGGCGCGGGGCGGCGCGGCGGGGAGCGGAGGGCCCACGGGGCGTCCGCCGGCCAGGGGCGCTCCGCCGCGCGGAGGGGGGCGAGGGGGCGGGGGCCCGAGGGGGCGCAGCGGGCGGATGCGCGCCCGGGGCTCCGTGCGCCGGGGGCCCTGGCGACTGCTGGGCGGGAGGCGGCTTGAGGAGCACGTGTGCTTCCCAGCGGCGGCCCCCCACCCCGTGCGCAGCAGTCCCCGACGCTCCGCGCAGCCCCACCGGCGCCCATCCAGCAGCGGTGTCCAGGCGAGCTGGAGGTGGTCAGGGAGGTGCGGGAGCGAAGAGCGGGACGGCCGAGCCGTGCGAAGGAGGGAGGCAGGAGAAGGAGGAGGCTGGATGGATCGGTGAGGGAGTGGAGGGAATGGGGATGGATAGGAGGAGGAGGAGGAGGAGGAGGAGGAGGAGGAGGAGGAGGAAGAGGAGGAGGAGGAGGAGGAGGAGGGGGAAGAGAAGGAGTAGGAGGAGGAAGGAGGAGCAGGAGGAGGAAGGCAAGCAAAGGGCCAATGGTGTCTTGGATGCCCCTCGGAGCCTCTTGGGGTATCTCTTGGGCGCTTCTTGGTGGCCTCTTGGGACGCCTTAGAGGGTCTCTTGGCGGTCCCAGGGTCCTCTTGGGCGTCTTGGGTGCCTCGGGGGGGCCACTTGGGGTTTTCTTGAGGGCCTCCTGGGGGCCTCTTGGGGGCCTCTTGGGGCCATCTTGGGACCATCTTGGGGCCCCTTGGGGCCTCCTGGGCGCCTCTTGGGGCCATTTTGGAGGAGATCGACCAAAGAAGAGGGGAGCTTTTTTCAGCGTTGCCCCCCCCCCCCCCCCCAGAGGGCAAGATGGGGCCAACACTTTAGTAACACCAATGATTTGGGCTTCCTCACCGAGGCCGTTTTGGACGCCCTGACCGCTCGCGACCGCCCCCGTCCAGGTCCAGGGGAGGGGGTCGGGGGGAAGGGGTGAACCCTTCCCCGAAGGGGAAGAAGGGGGGTTGGAAGAGGAAACTCCCTAAACCACCTACGTACGCCTTGAGGGCTGGTGGGATTTAGCCGAACACTTTGCCTACTTTGTTATGTGCGATTGCCGCGCGCGAGCTGTAGTACGCCGTGCAAGGTTCATGGGATGCGGCAGCAGCAGGGAGACGGAGGAAGGAGGAAGTAGCAGCAGCTAGGAGATGGAGGAAGGAGGAAGAGGACAACAAGGGAGGAGGGATAACAACGGAAGTGTCTCGCTGATGAGCGGCGATGCCGACGCCATGTCGATCTGGCGCCCCGAAGGGTCGGCTGTCCAGAATTAGTGCAGGTACCGAGCGAGCCCCAGCTCGTCCCGGCTGTCCAGAGTTAGTGCAGGAACTAAACGCCCGCAGGCGTTCCGCAAGGTCTGCGGGGGGCCCGCAGGAAAGAAGCTCGAGCCTTCAACAGAGATCAGTGGGATTGGAAAAGACCACGTGGAGATGCACAGAGAATAGTTTGCATCTGCCCTTGGTGCCCATTTCGCTGGCCCTCTCGGCAGTCTTCGAAAGTGGCAGTAGTTCGCGGTTCGCAGCCTAGCCTGAGTCCGCGCAGTCTTCCCAGCAGTCTTCGAGAAGGACGACGGCGTCGCAGGTCGCAGCCCCCCAGGGAGGGCGAGGTGCATTTTGACACTGCGTCCGGTACCCGCCTTCTCGGCAGCCTTCGGGAAGTGACGACGCTGCAGCAGTTCGCAGTCCACCGGAGCATGGCGATGTCGAGCTTGAGTCTGCGCTCGGTGCCTATTGAGCGCGGAGGAGGGGGAGGAGGAGGAGGAGGAGGAGGAGGAGGAGGAGGAGGAGAGGAGGAGGAGGAGGAGGCGGAGGAGGAGGAGGAGGGGGGAGGGGGTCACCCTCCTCCTCCTCGCTCTCCCTCCTCGCCCTCCTCCTCGTGCTCCCCTCCTCGTCCTCCCTGCCCTCGTCCTTCCCCTCCTCGCCCTCCTCGCTCTCCCCCTCCTCGCCCTCCACTTCGTGCTCCCCTCCCCGCCCTCCCCCCCGGCCCTCCCTCTCCTGGTCCTTCCCCTCTTCGCTCTCCTTTGCTCTTCCTCCTTGCCGTCCTCTGCGATCCCTCCTCCTGTGAAGCCTTAGGTTAGGATTCCTCGGATCCTCCCATCCGTGTGCTCCGTTTGGACTCCTCGTCCTCCTCCTCCTTCTCCTCCTCCTGCTCCTCTTCCTCTTCCCAGTCCTCCTCCGCCTCCTCCTCCTCCTCCTCATGTCCCTACTCTTACTCCTGCCCCTCCTCCTCCTACTCCTCCTCCTACACCTCCTCCTCATCCTCCTTATCCTCATGTTTCTCCTCCTCCTCCTCCTCCTTCTCCTCTTCCTCCTCATCCTCATCATCCTCCTCCTCTTCCTCCCCGATCTTCCTCCTCCTTGTGGAGCTATTGTCAGGCTATTGTTCGCCTGTGGGTTGTTGCTGGGTGGTTATTTATGCAGGCTGGTTTTGCCCTCTGGTCTACTCGGCACGACGCAGGACATTTGAGCTAGTTAACGCAAGAATTGCAACATAATTCGCTACATGTCCACTCGAGTCGGCGCGTCGTTTCGGTCGTCGTCGTTGTCGCCGTCGTCGTCGCGATCGTCGTCGTCTTCACATGTGGGTCGCGCACATAAATCGTGCGCAGTAAGAACTCGCCATCGTTGGATTGCCAGAGGGTCCCAGGTCCTAGGGATCCGATCCTTGAAAATCTAACGTACCCTTCGGGATCCTGTGGAGTCCGAGCGGCATCGTAAGGAGTGCTTAGGAACCTGTGATAACCCCACAACGAACCCTACGAATCCGTAGGTGTCCAAAGGGAATCTTCAGACTTCTACGGATCCTCTGGAACCCCAGCAGTCGCCGCCGCGGGAGGGGACGTAGTTTCCCACTCTTGTCTTAGGCCTCAATCCATCGAAATGCCAGCGCAAACAGTGTTTGAGTACCATTAAAGGATGGGGGTCGTAAAAGACCTGTATAGGTTATGGCTGTTTTGCACGTTGCCCTCGGAAGTGGCGGCAGTTTCGCACTTCGCACCCGGCTAAAGACGGCGAGGTTTACGGCCGAGCATGTAATAAATAAGCCCCCGCAAAGTTTGGTCAGTTTTACACTAGCAAGAGAAATTGGCACGGACTTGTTTTCAGAAGAGTCTGGGAAGTTGTCCCAGATT